AGTTCATATTATCATGTTCATGAATAATATATCTGCGTGTGGGACCCTATATAGTAATTAAATGCAAGTGCACCATGTAATTAAGTAAATTGCATTGGTCAAAAGGTGTTCTTGAGGACCCTGAGTATTTCCAAGGTTCACAGCTTAACCAGTAGTGAAACAGCAGTTCTGTCAGAGAAGATGGAAGAGCAGCAAGCTGATTAAGTTACTATGGCCAAGAAACATTAAGCCCTTCTAAATTCTAGCATAAGAAATGGACTGATTATTTGTTTGGATATTTTGTCTTTGCAGTTAGCATTTCTTAAAATATTTAAACTAAAAGTGACAGTTTAAATGAAAAACTCTTGCTTATTGTCACACAATAAGCAAAAGGCAGCTCGAGCTAAGCCTCTATCCAGTATTATTTCCATTCTCTTTTTTTGTTTGGAGCTGCTCCTAGATGTTTGTTATAAGACCATTACACTCTAAAAGGTCTCTACTGGATTAACTCTGAAAATTCCCTACAATGTGTCTAGTTTTGAAATGGAAACTAAAATTGTCTTTCAGTGCAGATCTCTTGAGATGTGTTTATTGTGCACATTACTTGAAGGAGTACTGCCCTCAGTGACGAAGTGTTGTTTTTGTTACCTTTATATATTGCAAAATAATGTGTGTCAGATTTCATGGATTCTTTTCTAGTGTTTCTGGATTTTAGTAATTTTCTTTTTGCTGTTCTAATGCATACACTGCAAATTGCTCTGTCATATCTTGACTTGCTGTTCCGTTTCTGTGATTTCCTGTGCTCTGCAGCGCCAGGAGGCAGGGCTAGTCCTGGCAGTCATAAAAAAAGAGACTTGGTTCCCCCTTCTGGGAAAACTGCCAGGTATATGCTACTTCAAAAGCTGAAAGATACTCTAAGAACTTTGATCAACAGACTTAAAACATTAAGCTAATTCTTCCTTCATTTCAGTGCGTGAGAAACCAAAAAGGTCAAGTATGACTGGGAATGCATGTCAATTAAGGTGGATGTGGAATGCCTGGGTGCTTGAAGAAAGTCATAAAATCCAGCCTTTCACTGTTAACTATGAAATTTTTATAATGGTGTTTGCGTTAAGAATACAGAGGCATTATAACATGTGCACTCTTAACAGTATTTCAAAAGTCAGTATGTATAGCTGTATTCTCACATCAGAGTTCGTAATTTGACAAAAGATTTTTTTTTTAAACTAATGAAAAAGACAGCATGCTGTCCATATATGGGTGATAGTTTCTATAGCAGAAAAGCTTTCTTGTTCAACCATTTAATGAATTTCTAAGGATATACTTGGGGGTTGGAGGGATATAGGATTAAAGAGTTGTGGCTCTCCCAAATGGCTTTATCCTAATAGTGTTCCAGTTGTCTTAAAATACCCTACATACTCTGTTGGTTTTCCACTGAATGTTATTGACTAGTGCACTTCAAGAGGGACTATGTTCTGTGATGTGTAAAATTACTTTCCATATGAAGGCTGGGTGTATGTAGAAGACTATTATCTGAATAGAAAGTGAGATTTGGTTGACCTGTAAGGGAAAAAAATTCCTAAGTGTACAATGAAATATTACCCAGAGTTCAAAAGGCTTGTGGCAGCGCTGAGAGTTTGGCACAGCCATTTCAGCTTGCATAGTTGATATCAAAAGCTGTTCCATTTGGACAGAAGACCATCTTAATTGTTACTGTGCTTCTGCAACCTTCCCTAATCTTGCCTAAAAGTAATTTTGTTAAATATAGTCACAATACTTAATTTCACTATACAATTTGTTTTCATAGATATCTTTTGGAGAGAAGTGTTTGCTTTTCAGCGGAGCTCTTGTGGATCTGCTGTATGATGGTGCTTCTTGCTTTTAATTTCAGTCATGTTTTCTTTTATTCAAATTAAAGCACTGCCTTTTTTTCTGATGCCTCAGTAATGGAAGCTCAGCATGGACAAAAGAGGAGGAATGCTCCTTTCTGTCATGAGGGAGAGGCTCTATTCTCTTTATTTTAGACTTGTGCATAGATACCACTTTCCACATTTCCAAATTGATGCAGTGTCTCTAAATGCTGTACTTTGTGTTCAATAGCATAACTGAGATCTGGACTTTTGTCTACGTTCCCATTTTCTGCCCTTTCTCATTTCACATCTTAACTACTACATGCCTTCCTCTGATCTTGCACGTAGTGTCCATTCCACACCCTCCCCTTCTTATTTTCCTGGCTGGGTTTGGTGTATAGCTGTTCTCTTTATGTGTGTTCGGTCAGTGGTTCCCCATGTTTGTCTCTGCCTCTCTACCTTCAAGGTCTGATGTGACTTACAATTCTTCAGTTATCCTCTCTTGAAGAGTTACTGTATCTCAGGCCATTATTTATTCCAAAAGGATTGCCAGTTTTGAGTTCTTCTGAAGCTTTCCAACAGGAATGTTTATTTCCTGCTATTAAATTTTTTTTGGCTGAAATATGTACAATATTGATAAATGTTACTAATGTGTACAAAATGTATGTTTGTGGAACTCAATGTGAGCAGAAGCAAGTGGCAGTAAGATGCTGTGGGAGGAAGGACAAGCAGATGGTGACAGAAACCGCACTTTCTGAATTTGTAGTTGCTGCTGAGTCCAGATGACACAAGAAGTAGAATTCTTGATTTGGTTTCCAGTAGGATATGTAGCAGAGGGAAAACTGTTTGATTTACACTTGAAATTATATGTTTGGTCTTTTCTTCTCATTGGACTCTTTGTGCTTCATCCTCCAAGGTGTGGTTTGCCTTCTTGTAGTTAGGGAAGTGGTATTTATAATAATTAGCTTCTCTCTTTTTCCATGGAACTATATTTCTGAGATGCTGTTGAAATATTACCTAAATAAAACCAGAATTAAAAAACAAATCTTCATTACTTCACTTTCATTAATGTTTAAACTACACTTTGAGTCAAAGAAACATCAGGAAAGATCAACCACAGAGACTATGAGCTTATCAGTGTAAGTTTGAAGAGCTTCTAGAGCTTCTAAGTTTCTTCACATGTGTTAAGCCTGAGGTCCAAACTATACTGAAGGGTTATGCCTGGGGAAGAAGCAGAACATCTCTACTACTGGCACCATAAGTAACCCTTGCGACAGAACCATCAACACCCTGAGGTATAGCGTGGCATTCTGAGCCGTGAGCGCTCTAGTGGTCACTTCCAAGGGGAAAGTAAGCAACTGCTAGATACTGGAATAAACGCTCACAAAACATCCTTAAAGGGCAAAAGAGTTGTAAATATCTAAAGTCAGTGACTGTAATGCTGTATGAGTTCACTTTGAGCTATTCTTTAAGTAAAGCTTAGCTACTCAAAATTTAAAATATTATGTGAAACTGCATATTTCAATGAAATTCCAGATTCATTACACTTCTGCCTTACATTGTTCCATCTTTCCTTCCCTTTCATTCTAAAGTTGGAGACCCCTGTGTTAGAGATTCAGACAATGAATCCTTTTATCTAGCACTTGCATTCATTATTCATTGTGCATTGTCAGTGGATTGCTGCTTCAGGCCTGAATTAGAGATAATTAATCTTAGAAAAGCACTTGTAATTTCACACTTTATGAAGCACTGTTGTCTCAGCACAGCAGTGCTGTGGTGGCAAAATACTTTAATGCTCATTGTTGCTATGCAGTATCATATCTCTTAATATTCATGTGCATTCAAGTCTTTATTTTGCTTGCTTGTCTGTAGGTTTATGTTACAGCAGTTGTGTACACAACAGTTTGTGTTTTGCTTTAGAAATGTTTTTTGATGTTTTTATTTTATACAGAATTTCAGACAGAAATAGGTTGAATTGTCATTTAAATGGTCAGGTTAGAAAGGCCTTTATCTTTTCCAATACTGAAAAGGAAAACTTGGAAAAGTGATGAAACTTTAGAGCAAGAGGCATCGAGTAGATTTCCCAACTTGGCATGTCACTTCAGATGAGTTAAATCGGTAGCTGGTAATTGATCAGATATAGTCTACACTTAGAAGCTAAGGGCTGGTGTTTTCCCTGTGGCGATTAAATGTTTCTAAACCTTCTTGCTATGCACATAGCCTTCTAGGAGCTCTAGTTGCATGTGACAGCATGTATGTAAGAACTTTGCTGAGGAAGCTGATTTCATCTATTGCAGCCTGCTTGTTTACACATCTGCATAGGGAACAGCTCATGCTCTGTATCTTACAACAGCGTAAAAACTGTTCTAAAAATATCAATATCTCTTGACAGTACTTAAAGCTGATAGTTCTAGACTGCCGAAAGAATAAAATTATAATCTACAAGAAGTGATTCAATGCAAAGATATCAAAGATCCCTTAGTTGCATAGCCCGCAGAGGGGAATATTTTGGAATAAGTGTCAATGTGTGCTTGTCCTTCTACTCTTCCTTTGTATGCTGTTGATTGCACTAGGACATGAAAAACTGAGAGCTAAAAATAGACTTTTTGTTTCACTTAGTGTTCTTGCTAAGTGGAAAAAAAATTGATAAGAGCTTTTAAAATCTTCTCTTAAGTCTCTTCAGCTCTATTTGCCTAACTTTTCAGGAATTTCACAGTAATTGCTAACTAAGCTATAGTGCTTACTGTAATGAGATTTTTTGATTACACTCTTTGTGAAAACTGGCACATTATAAAAACACTTAATATAATTTTTGCTTATTATTAGATTGTCCACGGCAAACATAATTCCTTTGTAGGAATGTTAATCTTATCATAGTCCTTGATAATAGAAATTGGGGAAAAATAATGAAAATTTTAAATAAGAGTGTGTTACACTGTGCAATTTGTGCTGACTAGAGGAACAGACCTCCAACCTGAACTACCCTGTGATCCTGACCTCATAAGTGGAGTCAAGATTTAGAATTTATTGTTAGTCTAATTAATGCCCAAGCAGTCTAATCAAAATGCAGCAGCGTTTATGGTTAGCCGATTACAGTGATGCTAACACTTGTAGTCTCATTACCGCTAGTTCCCAATAGTCCATGTAAACACGCTTCTTCGCATCAGCCCCGTTCAGGCTCACCCTTCCCGCGTCCCGAGCAACGCTGGGAGGAGGGTGCTGGCGGTGGCTCCACGTGGGGTTATGCTGGGAGCTTTCAAGCAGTCAGCTGCTAATGCTTTGTCTTAGTCTAAAAGTTTACCGGTGTTAATCTCTCTGGTTTTGTTAGACCTTTATTGTATCTTCTGTAATTTCCTTCAGACCACGCAGTTGCATGAAGCTGAGCTGAATCCAAAGCCAAGTTAGACACACGTCATCTGACTGTAGTGACTTCTTCACAGCTGAGTCTCCCAACTGCAAGGCGTGTGCTGCTACAGCTAAAGCCAGCTCGAGAGAGCAGTTCAGACCAAGGGAAGTCCAGAGAAAAGGTTGCAAGCCCTTAGGCCGTGTGTTTCTGAGGCAGGCGGAGGCCTGTGGCCTGCTAATAGCAATGGCAATACCACCTTTATAGGGCTACAAATTCTGCGCACGCGCGGGAAGTTTGCGTGCCGCGTGTGCGCTGGAGAGCGGGGAGCGTAAGCTGACCTTTCAGGTCGGCTTGCGGCGTAGGAGTAGCTGGAGGTGGAATTAGTCTGCTGGCAAAGCTATGCGCTGTTACAGCTGTGGTGGAAGTACTGACATCTCTTCATATTGTTACATTAATGGCCAGCCTGTGGTAAACCACAAGCAAAGGGCAGTTTCTCCTGCACGGTTATCTGGTCAGCGGCAGCTCCTGCGGAACAAGCCTTCTGATCGCTGCCAGGTGCCATGTGTAATTTTGACATGCACTTGAAAGGATGTTCTTAAGCTCTTAAAAAGTCTTTCACTGCGGCTTCCATTTTTCGGTGTGAGACGTTCTTCAGTGCTGAGTCACCCTGTGGTGATGAGGCGCAGAGGTTTTCTCGCTGTGTTTGCAGTAGCCTCCTTGTGGGAGCTGACATGGCTTATTACACTAGGGGCCTCTGATCTGAACTGCAGCGCTTCGGCAAGAGGGAAAGATAATCTCTTCAGAAAGAAAATCTCTGCAAGCTGTTTGAGTCTGTATGGTAGGGCAGAGGTTCTTCCGAGGCCATGGATTGGGTGATTTCTTTTGTTGTTGTTTTGGTTTCTGTTTGTTTTTTTCCCCCCAATCTTACAGTTGGAGGAAGTTAATGTCTGTGAAACTGAAATTCTGGATTTCTGGGAAATGCTGTTTATAGTCTTTTGAGGTTAGATCTGGGTCAAAGTCTAATGGAGAGCCTCAAGAAGGATATACAGTAAATGCAGGTTGTCTGTCTTTGTAAGGAACAATAAGATTCAATTTTTCTGTCTTGCTTTATTTTATTTAGGTAATGTTTGAAATAGTTTAACTGAAGCTGTGACAAATTTGCACTCTGCTGTATGATGTGTAGCAAAACTTTAGGGCGTCGTGTCTATAAAACTTAAGTCTGTCCTTTTGTGAGAGCAGCTGCTTGGTCTAGTCTACTCCAGGCTGTTTAATAACAAACTAGAGGTAGTGGGAATACCAGCCAGAATACACAAACAAAACTCTGTCTGTCTTTCCTATGCCGTGATCCTAGGTCTTTCATAGTCCTGAGTCTTAGCTAGGGCTTTATTTTTGTTGTTTTGTTATTCCTGTATGAGATGTAATGATATATGTCCCTAGCAGAGGCATAGCTTATAAAAAAAAAATTGCTCATTTAGGTGTGTAGATATAGGTAAGTTAATATGCATCTTGGCATATTCAAACAGTCATTAACAGGTGCAAACTACCCTGCATTTTTACACAGTGAAACTTCTGGTTTTGAATCTTGAAATTGTGCTATGGGAAAGTTCTCCAAATGTTACAAGTAGGTAACTTGTGTACAATTTTCAGTCTAAAATTCTGTCTGCAGCTTTGATTAGGTTCTCCAGTGTGTTTGGAGTTCTCTGCCTATGTCTAATCGCTGTATCCTTTAACAGTGACATAAGAATATTCCTTATTTCTCAAACTTAGCAAAAGCATGAAGCTTCAAGATGTGCACCTATACCTGTCCCTTTTTTTCTCTGCTCCATGGTACACACTTTTATTGATTGTTTTTGGGAGAGGGGATATAAAATTTTCCATTTGGTCGTCTCTTAGGTTACAGGAAAAGACAATTATGATCTCTTGCCTTCCAAGTACTTGCTCAGTTAATGTGCTACCTCTCATATTTAGAACTTTCCGAAGTGTTTCCTAAGGAAAATCATTGTAGTCCTTCATGACTGTACCAAATACTAGGACTTTAGTCTATTGTCAAAACAATTTTTTTTTTCATTCAGAGTTGAGATCTATAACAGATGCAGGCTGTTTCACGTCCTCCACTAAGTTCCCAACCTTAATTCATAAACTATGTTTTCTGTCTTTTCCATCAGTGTCACTTACCTCTTAATACTTGTACCTGTAATTTCGTATATAGTACTAACTCTTTTCTTCTACCACATCTGAAATTGCTTTATTAATGTTGGCATTCCTTTCTTGTGACTTACCCTGCTGTGTTACTGTGAAGTCCCCCACAGGCGGCTCCTTGAATAATTGCTTCTAGCTCAGTCTGTTTATTTCCCATCATTCTGGCATTAACATACAAGTAGTTGTGAGATGGTTTATTCGCTTTCTTTCTTGGTGAGTAGTGTTGTTTTCTTCTTTCTTTCCTTCTCCCCCTTCTTACTATCTACAAGCCTGGCATTTCAGTTCCTGACTTGTCTTTTTGTCAAAGAGTGAATCTTGTGTCCGCTCCAGACTGTTTTTTCTTGTGCCAGGTCTGAAGACAGAAGATTGAATGTCTGAAGGGAAGTTGTGGCTAGTCAAGAGCACATGTGCTCATGTGAAGACTGTGCTCCATGGATGAAGTCTCTAGACTTCTCCTCTCAGCTGATTAAAGGAATGATAAACTTATTGTGCATAGTGGCATAGAAAATTAAGGTGAGGGTTAGCAGATCATATGTGGACTCCCTGATTTTTTGAACTTCTTTGGAGAGTTCATGTGGACAGTTACGCAGTCAGAGATGACCTCTTTGCAGACAGTCAGTACTCAAAGTGCTGTTAATCCTTATATTTGTTTTGGGTTGGTAGCAAGATATGAAATGGAAGTTGTCATCTGTTGAGCTTTTGATCAGTTTGAGCTGATGGAACCAGGTACCAGTGATCTTCACAGCACATAATACATTTTTTTTCTGGAGACTATCTAGAAAGAAATGATGTGCATAGAGATGATGTAACTGAAAAAGGTAATCTTGTAAATGTTATGGCAATTACTGAACTCATAGTACATCTCTATTATTATTATGGGTAGCTCAAAATGTAATTGGCAGGTCACACAGAAGTTGATGAGTGTGTTGTGTTTTTTTTTATTCAGAAAGTAATGGCAAACGAGAGAGGAAGGATTCCTTGAAATAACATATTGGTCATTTCTAAGGGGAATAGTTGGCAGTGTATGGAGATGCACATCTGAGTAAGTGAAGTGAGAAGGGAACCCAAAGGTGGTAAAAAAAAAAAAAGAGTGAAACTAGAAAGACATTAGATCAAATACAGATGTGTAGAATGTGGACAAGGACTCTAATGGCAGGAAAAAAATCTCTCCACTAATTTCAATTTTTGTTTGTAGTTTAATGTGGTTGACTGGAGGAGGCAAAAATGAGATTCATTGCAAAGTAATTTGAAGCAGATGGGAGGTGGGAAAAAAATGAAGAGCAGAGATGTCTAACTGTAAAAGGCTGTAAAAGTCAAGGTGACAGATGAGGGCTTAGGAAAAAGTGCTCTAGTAAACATATTACAGAAGCCAAACCACTTCTTTGCTTGCTGAAGGGAAGGAAATGGGAGAGAAAGAATTGGAGATGACAATGAAGTTTTGATCCTGAGAGAGAGAGTAAAAGTGTATGCATTATTTAGAATAGAAAAGGAAGACTGTAGCAAGATACTAGGGGGGGAAAAAGTATGCTCAATACTAGAAAGAATAAGCTTGTGATAATGGTGTAGCAGG